CATTGGTTGGTTCCGTCTGTGTATAAGTACCTCGGCCCCTACTTTGACTGCCAGTGCTTGGAACACTTCGTTCTGGATGTGCACGTAGTCTGCTGACATGATGTCGATGCCGTTGGCCCGGTTCCTCATCCGCCGCACGGCTTCTCGTTTGTCCTCCTCCGGTAGTATGATGGTCCTCCAACCTCCTAGGATTGCCCACACTTGTGGTGGTGTGTCTGCTATGGCTGAGAGGGCCCCGGCTAGTGTGCGTTCCCCTCTTACCACGTCGATTATTAAAGAGTAGGCTAAGGCGCTGAGGGGTCCTCTGTCATGCAGGTACCCTATCCTCACCTTGCTGAGCTGGAAGCAGAAGTATGCCAGCTCTACGAACTTGTCATCTCCTTTCTGCTGGAAGATTGGGAGCTTCTTACAATCCTCGCAGTAGTCCCCTACCACCACTGCGTACCCCTCGTCCTTGAGGCCTTGCAGTAGGGTAGATTTGCCGAGACAGGCTGTGCCGTCGACCATCGTGGTCACTTCGAATTTCAGGGCTTCCCTTGCGCCGGTGTTGATTCGGCGACCGCGAGAGTACGTCGTTAACATTGTTCTCTCCGACTCCAAATTTTTTTTTTTGTGTGTGCGCCTTGTGTGCGCTTTGTGTGTGCTCCCTCCGTTTGGTCCCAGCCTCGAGTTACTCCTCTCGGCGACGTCGTTTTCTTCGGGTCGACCCTAGTATAGGTGTTAGTTCCTCTGTGGTCGGTACTTCTGGGGTTGAGGGTTCCTCACTGTTGTTCCTTTCCGTTGTAGTTTGCCCTCCCGGTTCTTCTTCGTTGTCGGAACTTAATTCGTAATACTCGGGCCGTTGTCCCAATTTTCGTTGTAGGTCGTCTCTGTCGATTTGTATTCCTCCTCTTCGGTACTCTTCTACCCACTTGCCCAGCTGGTGTTCGTCGAGGGGTGCTGTCACCCTTCTTAATACTCCTGCGTGCCGGTGTTCCCTGTGTCCCGTAACTATGTCTTCTACGTGTGCCCCATGTCCTGCCTTACTAACTTTAACTACCCGGCGGGGGAATCCCCACCCTCGTTCGTGTACTGTCGGGTCTCTTACGAGTACGATGTCTCCCTTTTCAAGGTGTCCCCCTCTCCGTCGCTCATTTCGTCGGTCGGCTCGCTGTTGGGCTTCTGCCTGCATCCGCTCGATCGTCCCCTCTCTGGTCTTCGCCAGCCATTCTATTCGTTGTAGGTTTGGGTTCCTCAGGGTGCCTACGAGCTCCCGTTCCTCCGGTATGGTAGGTTCCACTCCGAATAGCCACCTTCCCGGCGTCATGCCCAGCGTTGTATGGTGTGCTGTACGGTACAGGAACATGGCCAGTGCTAGCGACTCTTCTTCGCCTCTCATGCTTTCTCCCCGTATGCGTTCGTAGTGCTTCCGAAGGTGTCGGTGGAATGACTCTACCGGTCCGTTCCCTTCGGGGTGGTAGGGGGTGGTCGTGACCAGCTTGGTTCCCAATAGGTCCAACAACTCCTTCATGATGACGCTGGTAAAGGCTTTGTCGTTGTCACATATTAGCTGTTTGGGTACTCCGTATCGTGTAACCCATTGCCGAATAAATGTCGCTGCTGCCCAATGGGCAGACTTGTCGGGGACCACCGCTGCTTCCACCCATCGTGACGTCCGGTCGATCATTGTCATTATTGGCCTGCCTTCTCCTCTGGTTTGCCAGAAGTCGATATGTACC